GGTGTAGTCCATATGGTCCTGTTGACCTTTTCATGCCCAAGGTGCTAAGAGCCCTAAGTACATTGCCATGATCAAAGTTCACGGTGGGCAGGTGGTTTGTTGACCCTGTATTTTGGGTCTGGTTCTTTGTCCAGAAGAGGTTCCTGAGTGAAAACCGCTCCGAAATAGTTAGCTATAGCCTCTACTTTTTCCTGATCTTGCCCTATCATTCCAGATTCATCCCCTTTTTTAATTAGGTTGGGGATCCATTGATGCATCCTTTTTCTGTAGTTTAGGTTCGAGAATAATTTCTTAGACTGCTGGAGTGCAGATCGTGCCAATTGCGTTTCATATTTCCTCTGAGGTTCCTGAATTCTAATTATACACGTGTTTCTTAACGATCTGCAGATTTTCATGTTACATGCTGTGCCAAGGCTGATAAAAGCATTCCAACATTTCTTCTTTGTCTTAGTAAACGTCGAATATCCCGGTCTATCCAGAGATGGCCGTGCTTCTTCTTCTTCTTTGGGACCGTCTAGGGTATGTATGGTCGAGTTGTCTGATTATATAACTGCCAGGAGTGAGTCCATGCCTCTTGTACTGATATCTTTGAGTCAATTTCACAGTTTTCAGCAGACGCTGCGGAGTTGATTGCCTCAAAGTCTGCTGTTTATATATTAGGACTGGCCGGCGCAAATGTTTGACAGGCCATCTCAGCCATGAATCTGAATAATATGACTGCATGATCTCTTCTTCCTAGAGGAGAGAGGAAAGCCATTTAACCAACGTCATCACTGTGTATGACGACCTAATCCAAAAGAGAGGAGGAGCTTCGTAAGTCATATCTTATGGGACCTCTAACGTGTTGGTATAATGCTAATGCGTTCGAGGTTTCTAACAGTTTGCAATCGAATGACGTTATCGATTACCCTACTTCTAAGTTAACCCAGTTTATATACGGTGCAGCAAAGTCGCCTACTGAGAGGCCTTTACCCCTATTACACCAGAACTTAGGTTTAATTAGGAGGAAATCATCTACTACACATTCTAGACTGTGATATACTATAACTCGTTGAACATCTTGCCGTCTACATTTCCGCTTGAAACGCACTAGTTCACATGTTCCTGAATCATGTACCACTATCTCAACTACTCGTACGGTAAGGGTACTTTTCGTTCACAGTGTTCTCTTGGTTTTCAATTCTCAGAGACATTAGTTCTTTGATCTGGCTATTTTCATCTTTTCTTCGGGATCATAAGTTAGCCCTTTCAACTTTACACTGCGACAAAGCGATTTGTTGCGGATACTATCCAGCCAGTGGATCTGAAATATTTTTCGCACACACCTGTTTAGGAATGTATATACTTTTCTATAGAGGTGGTGGTATTCCTCCGCCTTTCTGCTGTTAAAGTTAGCATTGAAAATGTTGGCCTTGGTATTAGTAAATGGTCGTTTTCAGCTCCAGATTTTTCCAGTTTTAGGACTGTTCCCTTTGCTTTGCCATTACATCTTCATCAGACCACTCTTATATGCCAAGAATACTACCTAGGTACGTAGATGTTTCCACCTTTTCCAGAGATTCCCCATCAAATATGGCTTTGTTGGTGCTGGCCATGTTGTAATTCATGGTCCTACTTCCACCCTCGTGTATCGTGAGGCCTAATGCTGCTCTACTGTCTGTCTCCACCTACATGTGTCGCTGTATGCAGAATAGAAGAATTAGCTCATCTGTGAAATCCAAATCGTTCAGCTGCATCCAAGATGTCCACTGTATTCCGTGATTCCTCTGAAATGTGGAGATCTTAAGAATCTAGCTAACTTCCAGAAGAAGAAAATTGAGAGGAAGCAGACTTTTGTGACAATGGTCTTCACTTTTAATGAGCCTGTGAGCTGGCCTTTATACATGAATTTCCAGTGTCCTCATAAGAACGCTGTGTGATGTGTCCCGTTCATTTGACTGTTCAGCAGTTATCCACAATGTCATGAGAACATTCATTCGATCAGTATAAATACCATTACCTAAACAAATATTACTACTGAGTTGTTCGATCAATAATTGTTCAAGCAATCAAGTCTAAGTTACAATAAATAAACAAGTTGGTAAAGAATGCAAGAAAATTACCAATTGCAACAATTAAATGTTATTATATCCTTTCTGGATAGACCACGTACAGATTCGTTTGAAAAATAATATTTGGTTGCTTTATAACACAATGTTTCCAATTCTGTAAGAGTGCTTCAATTCACAATCAAAAGTGCACAATTCCAGTCAATGCAAACAACATAATTAAAAGAGGAACAAAATCAATAAAGCTGCCGCCAAGACTAAGTATCAACTAAAATAACATAAATGCAGTTGAAAAATAAACATGGAAACTCATTGAAATCGTAGGAAAAATAAAACCGTAATAAAACACAAATATTGCCATCTCAAATGTAATCAATAAGACTAACAAAATGTACAAATGAAAAAATTAATAGGAACAAACTACAAGTGTATACAAGGAGGGATTTTAACATTAAAAAACCTTTAGAATGGATCTTACATAACTGGCATGGCTCAGCGTTGCAGATGGGGTTATTCTGTATAATGTGTCTTTACTCACGTCAAGTATATTATATCTTTAGCTCAAATGTGTTATCCGAAAGCACTAAACTATGTACTGCTGATTTTTGTGATGCAACGAATCGATGTTGATAGTAATGGGGCTTCCATGTGAGATCTCATGGATTAGGTAGTCACATCATGACAAGTCTACAATCTTAGGATTAGGTCTGTCATTATAACAGCATTAATAGCGAACTAGACCATAAATCTACAGATGTATCGATCTTTCCTGTGTCATGGCATTTATTCTCTTTCCCAAATCTTGCTGAATACAATGTGGGGCATGTTTACAGTTATTTCTCCGTCTGGCTTCAGTACTTCAGGAGGAATACTGTCAAGTACTATCGTTTCCCACTCGTGATTTGTCTGATGGCTATCATGAATTCCTCAGTCGTTGGTGGGGTGATATGTATAGGATGGTCTGCAGGTGCGGCTGTTATATCAGTTGGATTCAATGGAGTTCCTCAGTGTTCTACACATCTGTCCCCCTATTCTGGAATCCTACTGATTGGCTTGCCTTCATTTTCCTTGACCGCTTTCTCTGGTTTACTGTATTTCTTTACCGGGTTCTTTGCTCCGTTATGTAGTTGTTTCATATATCCGTTTCCTGCAGCCTTTCTGTTAACACGGCAGTCTTCCATATATTTTCACTTATCACTTCTAACGCTTCTCCGCTCCGTTGTTTGCCTCTCTGCCTTGAATTTCTCTCTAATTGTTCGGCTGTTGTTAATTCCTAACATTTTGTTCTTCCGTTCTCGAATGTTACCCAGAGTTTCGATAGAGATCTACTCATCATGATGATGCTTGTTGCGGCCCAGAACCTCGTGTTACGTTGAACTCAGTGCTTCTTTGATCCCTTTCCGATTGTCCTTCATAGAAATTTCTTCTTCCCTCAGTTGATCGTGTAAGGCTTGGAACCTGTTGTGGAGACCTATTTTGAATTCGTTGAGTTTGTCAGTATGTCGAAGGAAGGCTGTATTGAACCATTGTAATGCTGTTTTCCCAGTTATCTAGTGCTTCTTTGGCTTCGGTTTGATCTTGGGAGTCACAACCGGATGGTGACCTAAAGCTGTTAGCTCCTGGTTCTCACATCTCCCATGGACCTTTCGAGTTTTTCATTGATGGAATTACTATCGACCTGATTCTCTGTAATGTGGTCCAGTGAAACTCATGCTGCCTTGTGTAAACATGTGTAGGGGTGAATGGTGCCACTTGTAGCCATATTGTTGGAAACAAATCCCTCACCATTCTCGTTCCTTCCTCACAGTCCATGTTGTTCCATGATATCTTCTTATCCAGTGTTGTCCATTCCGAGTCTAAGTCTCCCATCAGGATGGTCTGGTCCTATTCTGAGCACTTTTGTAGAATGAACTGCAGCTCCATAAAACTAACATTTATTATTTGGGCTGTCATCTTTGGTGAGCACATTGCATTGAATGACATTAATTTTAATCCCCTCTTTGTTTTGCAGGATGATTTGATGATCTATGAGATTCCCATCCTATAAGCAATTTTCGCACTTCTTCACATAACATTATTGAAACTTCTTTTGTGTGCAAATCATTTCCTTCTTTGTGACTACAATACAACAGTATCTCTCCCGAAGTTATTTATTTCGGTTCATTTTGAGTCCAGTGGGTTTCATTTATTACGCAAACCTCCAAGTTGTATATTAAGCTATTTGAATGTTTTTTTGGATGTCTCACATTACAAGAACGCAATCTTTATATGATACTAACGTGACATGTGAATAATCTGTTCATAAATCACGTATTTCATACTAGCATCCTATGGATGCAGTTTAAACTTCCTTTCGTTGTCTCGAAGCTAGAAGCATAAACACAGTTTTCTCCTTGGGGTAATACTCTATTTATCTGAAAGAAGGTGGATGTTGTTCGATCAATCATTTCGAAAATTTTTGAAATGCGATTACCGTTCAAGTGACTTCACTTGACAATATAGTAACATTGATCTGTGAACATTAAGTCATGACTTAGTAATTTTCGAGTACTTTCGATTAATAGCTGAACACAGCCGATGTACCGACCCCATATCTTTATTGATGCTTAATCGGCTTAGATTATAAGCAGTTCACAAAGATTGTTGTAGATTGCAGAATCTGAGTACGAATTATATCAGTAGTAGGGAATTACAAGAAATGTTCTGCTATTAATTATAATGGTCAGAGCTCTGTTGCTCAGTCAAGCACTCACCTCACGGAATAAAGACACTCGTGAAACAATATAAAATGCTGATACAAGCTTCACCGGAGAGGACAGACAAACACAACTGCATGGCGTTTTGATAGGGCAAAACAAAAAAACTAGTTCCATCCAGCTATCAATCATGAATAAGTGTGAATAGAACAGAGATCACAGGCACTTTGAAATAACAGAATTTCTGTCAGTACAAATGGTCCGTAAACATAGTGATATAACTCCAGGTAAATTAGAGAGAATACATGAGATATATGAATTGAATTCAGCAGTCTGACGTAACGTTTTGTGAATTTTATGCCTTAGATTCACATTTTATAATATTCACTTCAACAGTTTTGTGTTTTTTAGTCAGTCTTCGAGGTTTTCGAATTTCTTTTCATCACGTTTATCAGATTAGCCAAATGTCAAAGAAACGATGAGACACCGTCAGTCAAGCTAACTTGTGAGTACTGTTAGACTTCTAAATACTTCATTACTTCTGATCACTAACCAACTCGTAAATGTGATCAACCATGAAAATGAATATTGATGCTTACTAGTCGATTACTGAAGACAGAGTGATGAAGCTGTGAGGCAAATTTTTATTATACTATTAAATATTCTTCTCCAGTAGATCATTATCGTACATGTTGAAATTAACCAAGTACCTTCTCGTAATAATCTCGAGACAAAATTTGTCCATCATCAGTCGTCCAAAATGTTCACTTACATCGACCGGAAGATTTCGGGAAGTTGCGGCTTCATCAATATCACTAGACATTTTCCTGACAACTAAACTAAGCAGTTTCCGCAATCGCATGTTATTGCACTTACAGATATTACCTTATTTTACGAATCTAATCCGGTCTTCAACGAAGCGGGTATAATGACAGCCTGCTAGTAATCACCGTTGATTAACCAGCATAGGCAATAATTAAAATATTCAGGATAACGTATATGAGAGCGATATACGAATGGAGTAAAACTAAATTTAACAATTACCGTGTACACGCTTCTTTATCCTTATATTTAAATAAAACTGTGTTCATCGCTATTAAACATCATGAAATCAACGGAGTGCTTGGATGCACCTTTTGTTATTTTCATAGTACTCATCAGCCAGTATACTCCGCCTAATGATCTACTTTACATGAGAACCCTATTTCAACGTAAAGGGGGGGGCAATACTGGTCTAATATTAAATAGCACTAACCGTTGGCTGAAGAAATTTTCAGTACTGAGTATATGATCGAGTAAATGTTCATAAAATGAGGAAGTGGTAATCTAACGTTCATGAATTGACCAAGCGAGTTTCTTACTTTGTTATCTAGGGCTTTCCAATAACAACTGATGACTTTTTGTTCAACAGACAGTGCACGAGTTTCACCAAATCTATCGTCGACCTAATATCCAGATAGAATAGACTCTCATTTTTACCTGTGTCCATACAGATAAAAAATGGGACGACTGCTCCTAAAGCTATCAGTTATCACAAACTTAAACGACGAATACCTACAAACTAGAAGTTATCAAAGAGCATCTTGACTTCTTGATGTTGGTACGGTGAGTAGAATTCGTAGACTGTTTCTGAATGTCGTTTATCTAAAGCAACCTGATCATGACTACAAAAGTAGATTCTAGTTAGGAGCCCATATTTGAAAGAGAATCCTCTCACTCCACCTACTTGTCATAGCAAATGGAAGGCTTCATTTTAGTGCCACAGTTTGGAGATAAAAGTGTACATACTTACCTGAGGACATCTGATCTTTCATTATATCCAAATCAGTTACGGTGACTCCATAATCGTTCTGCCCTGTAACACATTTGACCACCCGATCTAGAGATAGTGATCAGGTCAACACTTTAGTGGCCTCATATATGACTCCAGTTAGATCGTATGTGTGACTGTTATCGAAGTAGGTATCGTTTCGATAAGTTGAGTATAAGTTGAGCATTGGGTAGATTGTTATGAATAAATAATATATTTGTAATATCCCAATGAGTAGAACTAGTGTTAGTGAATAACGGAATTAAATAAGCCAAATACGAGAATGAAGTTTCGATGCGTATATCCCATTCAATTCTTGACCTGAACAGACAATCAGAAAAACGGAGCGAAAGAACCGAAGAAAAGTGAATGAAACGAAGTGACGAGCAGTGGAGAAGGCATTTAAGCGAAGTCGATTTAATCAAGCGTTAATCAATATTTATAGTCACACAAAAATAAGCCACGGACATGGGATGAGTAAGATAAGATATACACACATATATGTTCATATAAAAACAGTCAGTGCTGATACGTGAATGATTACCAAGGTCAAAATGTGGCTCAAGAAGAACGGATAAAGTGGCCTGTACGGATGCTAGAATAAATTATGTGGGCTTGGCATAGTGACTGACGCTACAGTACTGGCTCGAGATTTCCCTTAGCCTCTGAAGCCAGTTACCTCATCTATGAACCACAACCCATCCAGAAATTTTCACAACGACGATTGTTTCATCCGGGATGACTTCATCACATACTCGTCTTGTAGAATAACACAGTGTTGACTGACATTTCATAGACTTAGACCTAAAACGTCACTTCGGATATACATTCCTCACAGTTTCTTAATTGCCCCTAGACCTAGTAGTTTACATTTTAACCGTACGTACACTTGAAAACAACAGATGTATAATTGAGTTCGGTTTCACTTAACTAGCAACTCCCTATATGTACATAGTGAGTATGAGTAATCTAAAACATATAAGATCATGTTTCCACTACGTGCTGAACATCATTTGACGCTGTCTTGAATTACGCTAAGCTCACAAACCATGTGTTCAGCATGATATGCCCAAATGCATCAATGGGGTCGACCGACGGATTTCTCGAACTTGAAGCACAATAAATAGGGTTGCGTTAATAGAAAGCAAAACAAAAAATCGATTATTGTGAAGCAACTTCATTAAAAGCATTGCATAAGGTGCTAGTGACATTAATGGAAGATGACGACTTCAAACTAACTGAATGTCAATCATCTACTTTGAACGGAACAATATGTTACACAGATTATCAATCCGTAGAATCGTGTATGGTTATTTAGTAGGATAATTCGCTTACCCGGCTATAATAAACTGTCCAACAGTATTATTCAACCGATATTTTCCAGAAGATGTTGCATAGTAGCAACTAATTTTCAAAGGTGGTCGACGCAATGAACCTTCAAGTTATCGGCCGGTGGCTCTTCTGTCATTACCTTCAAAACTCATGGAGTCCCTGATATGCGACGGTTTAAATGACTATCTACTGTCCTTAAATTTCTTCTCACCCCAACAGCATGGTTTCAGGAAGGGTTACTCTTGTACAACCAACCTGCTGACTGCGGTGGACAGATGGACAAGCATCCTCGATTGCAAGGGAAAGGTTGATGTCATTTACCTTGATTTCTCAAAAGCTTTTGATAAAGTTAACCACTTGTGTCTTATCAACAAGCTCAAACGACTGGGTATCAAACCACCTCTAATCGATTGGCTTACTTCATACCTAAAAAATCGACACTTTAAGGTTAGGGTTAATTCCACTTTATCTCAGGCTATGGAATGTCCTAGTGGGGTCCCCCAGGGCTCAGTACTAGGGCCTCTTCTCTTCTTGATCTACATAAATGATCTTCCTCAACAGGTAACGTCAGACTTATTACTTTTTGCCGACGACGTGAAACTTCGGAGAGAGATACGCAACCAAGACGATACACAGGCACTTCAGGAGGATCTGACGCGACTTCAAAGTTGAGCAGACGATAACGGACTTACCTTTAACACTTCAAAGTGTAAAGTAGTCCATCTGCGACATGTCGCAAACTACAGTTACAACTTAGGAAACTCCTCTCTAGTAGTATCCCAAGTCGAAAAAGATTTAGGAGTCCTGGTGCCCCATGACTTAAAGTCTTACGCTAACTGTGACAAAAATGCCTTCCGAGCAAACCTTGCACTGGTAACGTTGAGGCGCATTTTTGGCCAGTTTGACGGAAGTACTTTCCACACAATCTTCAATAGTTTCATCCGTCCCCATTTAGAGTACGGAAACATAGTACTCCCCCCCTCACTCCAAAAGGACAAGGTCACTTTGGAGCGTATCCAACGGCGAGCCACGAAATCAGTTCGAGGACTCAAATCTAAACCTTATGAAGAACGTCTCCATTCACTAGACCTTTACTCATTAGAATATAGGCGTCTTCGAGGTGATTTATTAATGGCTTATAGCATTCTTAACACTTCTGGACATCCTCTTAAACACCTACTTAAGCTTAGTTCGAATAATAATCTAAGGGGTAACACCCAGAAACTGGAAACACAACATAGCAAGACGGAATGTAGACACAACTTCTACTCCTTAAGAGTTGTCAAGAGCTGGAATTCGCTGCCGGCCGAGCTAGTTCAAGCGACTTCTCAGGAGTCCTTCAAGAGGCAACTTGACCTATTTTTAAGAACCAAGGACAGCATCACACTATGATTTACCAATTTCTTTTCCTCTTTTATTGTTAACATACCTAGGTTCCTGCCTGGAGGAATTGGTGATCCCCTGCTACTAGACACGGAAGCCTGTTAAGCGAAAGCTTCTTCTATTCCGTCCACAACCATTTGAACCATTTGAAAAGCGCGGTCAAGTTTAAACGTTTTTGCTATGGCGCTTAGTGCAGTCAGATTCTTGCGGCTTCCAGTTTACTTAAGATATAGATTATACAGTACGGAAAGTGCATCAACAGTGACACACACTGGCCAGGTTTAATGTTTATCCGTACTTATCCATTAATGATTAGACGTTCTCGCTAAATGACCCATCAGTTGCAAGATTTACTATCGGTGATAAGTTGGTAAGATTCTTCTCTTTTTCACTGCTTGGTTTCGTTTTTAAGTTTCTAAAGTGAAAACACCCCGTTTTCGGCTGTTTTTACGACCGAGTCCTTATGTTTACTGCCGGAAATTCAATATAACAAGTGGTTTATATATATACCTGTGAATGTCGAAAAATCCAGGTCTTTTTAAGTAATTTCAAATCATGGTTATCAGCTTGACCTTACTTGCTTGCGGAAATAGGTCCATATCGCCGTGGTTCGGCTTTCAGAAGCTGTGCTTTTCGTGCGCTTGTGTTCGCTGTTGAAAAACAAGTACTATGTAGATCTTCAAGTTGGTACGAGGACATTAAATTGCTCGGTAAAATCTCAGGTCTGAAGGGAATATCAATAGATCAGTGTATTGAGCTAAATCAAATGCAAACGATGAAATTAAATAAAATATGACACGAAATGTTGGTTTTTTGAGGTACGATTGGTATGACTCATCATAATGCTCGAAATCCTCGGCACTCGCTTATTCTTTACTTAGTGGTGTTGTATGGTTGACTGCACTTATGATGTAGTGTTCAAAAGTGATGAATCTATAACGCAGTTGCAGCAAGTGATAATAGTCCCACTTTAGTTTTGAGTGGTAGCATTCATATCTCTTACTATGGGGTTTTCTCGAAGGCTAAACTCATCGAATAAGGGTCCGTAGATAGTTTAAAGACATTTTTCTGGCAACCACTCATGGATTGGCAAGTTCTTTCATTTCCTAAGTGGATAGTAAGATTATGGTAATGTATTATTAAGGCTAAATTTAAAGCTTTTTGAAGTGGCTGCTTAAACGAGTTTACAAAAGATTTATCTATAAAGTTCGCTTCAGTCGAATAAATAGATGATCACCCTACTTCTTGCTTCGACGAACGTTATTATTTGTCTTAATTTTCAATTTGACACATATTGCTATGTATTACAATTTGTCTTGCCTTTTGTCTGTCTCATGCAATAGGTCAATAAGCAATTCGCAGAAAAGCTGATAGAAGAGGTTCCCCCGATCGCTTGCAAAGAAAATATAATCAGTTGCGACGGTGGTGGTGGTGCACTTGGGCATCCTAAAGTATACATCAACTTGGTAAGTCAATACCAACTGTCTGGTTGCATAATAAGCGTTTGCATGGATATCTCGTGTAACTAGTCTGGTTTTACCATTTAGTCTGTGATCACTTGGCTATACTACTTACTTAAACCTGTTACCCCTCGTGCAGAAGCATAGACCACCCACCAGCATTCTCTATCAAACTCTACCCTGGGAAATCCTTTCCAGTTGCTATTCATTCTTTTGATGTCCGCTTCCGATTCCCGACACCGTGTGTTCCTTGGCTTTTGTCTTTCCCTTTAGCCTTCAGGATTCCAAGTTGATGCTTGCTTCGCGATTCAGTTTGATGTTTTCCTCAATGTATGCCCTATCCACTTCCAGAGTTTTTTCCTAATTTCCTCTTCAGTTCGAAGCTGGTTTGTTTTTTCCACGGTAGGCTGTTGCTGATTGTATTCGACCAACGTATCTGGAATATTTTGCACAGACAGTTGTTTGTGAATACTTGTACCATTTTGATGATGGTTGTGGTAGCTATCGAAGTTTCAGCTCCGTACAGTAGAGCTGTCTTGACATTCGTATTGAAGATTCTGACTTTGATATTAGTTGACAGTTGTTTTAAGTTCCGTATGTTCTTCAAGTGTAGGAATGCGGCCCTCGCTTTGTTAATTCTCGCCTTTACGTCTGCATCGGATCCTCCTTGTTCATCGATGATGCTGTCCAGGTATGTGAAGGTTTCCAACTCTTCCAAAGTGTCTCCATCAAGTGTGATTGGGTTGGTGTTCTCCGTGTTTTATTTCAGGATTTTGCCTTCCCTTGTGTATGTTGAGGTCTATTGATGCAGCGGCTTCTGCTACACTGTTTGTCTTGACCTGCATTTGTTCGTGTGTATCGGATAGAAGGGCCTGATCGTCTGCGAAGTCCAAATCGTCTAGCTCATCCTAAGCTGTCCATTGTATTCTGTGCTTCCCGTCAGATGTGGAGGTCTTCATAATGCAGTCAACAACCAGAAGAAAGAGCAAGGAGGAGATTAAGTCGCCTTGTCTGACTCCGGTTCTCAATTGGAATGTGTCTGTCAGCTGCCCTGCATATACAACCTTGCAGTGTAGTCCGTCGTGTGAATCTCGGATGATGTTTCACGATCTTAACAGGTATGCCATAGTGTCGAAAAAGTTTCTATATGTGTCAAACGCTTTCTCATAGTCAAGGAAGTTGATGTATAGTGTCGAACATCATTAGATTAATTGCTCGACAATGATCCATAGTGTGACGACTTCGTCTGTGCACGACTGATCCTTACGGAATCCGGTTTGTTGATCTCGAATCAGTGTGTCTGTTTAATCTTTCACCAGGTTCAGCAATCCTCTGTTGTAAACATTTCCTAGTACCGATAGCAGACCTCATGGCGATGCTTATTGCGGCCCAGAACCTGTTACGTTGAATTTAGTGCTTCTTTGATCCCTTTCCGATTGTCCTTCATAGTAATTTCGGAAAAAGACGACACTTATCTGCTCTCAGCCTAGACGCTTATAACGATGGGCGGAGCACGTTGAGGAGCAGTTTAACTGGCTTTTAGTTACTCTACGACTACCCACCATTCCCAAACAGTCTGAATGGGACATTGAAGTATCCCCCTCGACTCTAATTGAAGTTCAAAAGGCTATAGTTAATCTGAGACGAGGAAGAGCAGCTGGTCCAGGTGGATTGGCTCCAGAGGTCTTTAAGTATGATGGTTCAGCTTTAGCGATTAGGTTGATCAATATTTCAAAAAGACCTGGGAGTTGGACGTGATTTCATCTGACTGGTCGCAATTACTGATTGTCCTGATATATAAAAAGGGGTCAAAACCATCCTGTGATAACCATAGAGGGATTAGTTTGACTGACGTAGCATCTCAATTACTGGCCTCGATAATTATCGGGGGCCTAACAAAGACATGTGAACTGCAAACACGAGAAACTTAGCCTGGATTCAGACCTGGTCGTGGCTGCGTCGACCACATATTCACCATTCGTCAGGTTCTAGAACACAGGCATACTTATCGGCGTCCGACAATGGTGGTCTTCCTTGACTTAAAAGCAGCATTTGACTCCGTAGACCGCGAGATCCTGTGGTAGTGTTTGTCATTGAAATGCGTACCTCAGAAGTACATAAACCTTGTGAAGGCTCTTTACTCGAACACTACTAGTCGAGTCAGAGCCTATGGTGAACTGTAATCTGATTTCTCAACCACAAGTGGTGTCCGACAAGGCGGACCACTTTCTCCATTTTTGTTTGACTTCATCATCGACCTACTGATGGAAATAACGTTCTCATCGTCTGAATTTTCAGGCATTGGTCTCCTACGAGGAGGTCCACTTATCGACTTAGAATACGCAGATGACATTGTTCTGTTTGGTGAAGACGCTGATAAAATGCAGTCTTTTGGTAGAATTGAGCAACAATGCCAGAATGTTTGGGATGCGTTTTCCCCCTTCTAAATGTTCATAGAGCCGTCGACTAGCGGATTAGGCTGTGTTGGTATGTACAGGATATCAATTTTGGGCTCTCGCGATTATCGTAATTAATGGTTGGAAACGTGTTACACCGCTCAAAATCGATTCCATTGGCACAGTCGTATTCAACTCTCGCCTTCCGTTAGATTTTGATTTATGAAACTAAGTAATACTATAGTGAACAGAACACCAGTGGAGACAATCGAATGTATTTGATACAAAATTACAGGACTTTTTAATAAAATCTAACAATCATACAGTAAATGCTTAATTAGCAAAATGTCCATCAGTTGTCTCAAATCGACTCAAACTTCATTGGTCCTGCATTTTCGTACAAATTGCATTGTTCCCATTCTTTACTGTTCGATCTCCTTGTCTTTGTGCTGCCAGACATTCTGTTCCCAACGTCATATGCTACTTATGTTGATATAAGTAGCACACATCACAATACTTCTTATTTCACATAATCATTATTTCCGAATCATCCCTCTATCTTGTCCTGTCTGCTATCGATATTGTTCCTAATTCTACTACTCTGGCATTTGTCTTTGTAATTTTGTACTGCTGCACTAGTGCGATGTGATCACCGACGAACATATGTCCCAGGTTATGTTTTGCTTATGACTCATTGCCGATCTGCGTTACTTAGATCACCGTACGAAAGTAAATACTACTCGTTATGCTGGAACTAGAATAACGTTCACGTTTTTATCACCATAACATATGATTCATTTCAATTCTAGGAATGCTTACTGTGTTTCTCTAACTATTTTAGGACCAACCAGGTAATCATACTTGCGGGTACTGTGGTTTGCGATTTTACCTAGACAAAAAAAGCCACTGAAACCTACGGCAACCACGATTTAGAACAGAAAAATATCCTACTTTGTGTGTTATGACATCATGTTTTGATGAATATCCTTGTGCTTTTAGAAGTTTGTGAAATGTTACTGAAAATAGCTTACAATCAAATACAGTATATATTCTTCCCTACTATGGATTTTGGCCAAGCAGTCTGAAATACTGTTTAGTTTTACAAGATGGTGTGTCTGAAAGACGTCGCCAACCACTGTCAAGGTAATGGACGTAACATATATAATCTGTATGATGCCTTTAACTCATGCATTCATCATGGTATGGTAGGTGAGCGTTACTAACCCAATACTTTAAAATATAGTCGTCGTATGTGTAATTTAGCTCGTTGTTGCATGTTTAGAAGTCATAAAAAATAGCTGAGCTCTTGGCTATAGAAACGCAGACCCCATTCTTTAATGCTCTGGATGGACGTTAAGAACAGCGTATCAAAACAATCGGTAATGTATGGTCGAAAGACTCAATAATGCCACAAAAGCTCCATACAAGTGTTTTGCCACTCACTTCTATTAAGTAGGATTCTTCGGTAAGAGATATTGTCGAATAGAGTTCCAGAGTTAATACCCGTACTTGACTATTCAATCTAGAGACAACATTAAGGTTTGCATACTAGCATATAAACCTCTTTTGTGAAGGTTAATGGCAAAATAACTAAAATTCTTTTTCCATGCAGATGCAAAGCTGTATGAACAACTGTCACGTAAATGCTAGTAGATTAATCCTTTAAGGCTTTGATAGGAATTTGAATAACCAGACTAGCTGAAAACAACACTACAATTTTATCTAAAAAATTATAGAAAGTCCGTGACCATTAATTAACGAACAGATTAGCGTAATCACAACAGTTGTATACTTTATTTCCTCATGAAACTAAATCGAACATGATTATTTGACAATTAGTTATCACTGGTACGGAGGAGTCCTGTTAATATGGCTTTGATCGTACATTGATTATGATAAAACCTTGATATTTGCAAGCTCTTTAAAAGGATTATTCTTATAGAAAAGCTTAGATTCATGGGTTGCGTAGTGTTTAAATCTCGACCTACTGTGAGAGCAGACATAAGCGTACACGAATTACTAGATCAAAAACAGTAATTTTCTTGCTTCTTGGTTCAGTAATTGAATATAGAAATCATAAAATGGAAAGGTAAACGCCACGGAAGCTAGTAAAGGCATTGTTAAGAGCGGACTAGTGAACGAAACTAATATTTCAATTAAAAATACTCCGGATGGTTGATATCGAATTTCCGAGTTTCAGAAACATCGGGATAGTAGCTTTCTTATCTACATTGTTGACACTAACTAGAATTTTGTATTGACAAACACACTGAAATAAACAATGAGCTATTGTGATGGGAAATACGTGTCATAGGACTTCCAGCACTACAGAAATTCAAATTTCTCTTATGGAAATAATCCAGCCTCAGAAGCCTAAGACGGAACCAAAATTAATGGCTAAATTCCTACTTAGTGGAAAGGTAAATGTGTATTTTACGTCTAAAATCAGATACCTAGCTTGGAGCACTCTAGGTTTCGAAGCGTAAACAAGACCCATCATTCTACCGGTATGCATAGAAAATATCTTATAATAAATGACGTCTTAAACTGAAATTGTTTGTGTTTGTTTGGTCTACTGTTTACAAGTGCTACCAACCAATGTTTTCTTGAATATCAGCTAAGCTAGAAATTGTTAGTGATATCTCACCAATCTAACTTTTGAAAAGCCCCGTACACCATTTTTAATCAAAATGGGATTGACGAGGTTAACTATCAGTTCGTTCAATTAACTCGTTTTTGTGTTAATTAGTTTAAATTAAATCTTAGCGAGATTAAAACTGATGTAGTTAGTATGTATCATTACCAAGGTTTGACTTAATAATTTTGAGTAAATTGAGTATCGGGTAGATTGTTGTAAATGAATATATTTATGATGTAGTTAGTGTTTGTGAGGTGTTTGCACTAACTCAAGATAAGTTCTATATTTCGCATGGAATTTTAAAGGAATAATTTTTCATGATACACCTAACCTTAGATACGACTTGGCGATGAATTCGGAAATATATGGCCGTAATCATAAATTTAATCTAGAACAACGACAAATTTATTTGTTGCTATTTTTCAGAGAGATATGAAAGCATGATTGGTACTCTTAAGGAAACTAACTTATAAGCAAATAGAAATCACTTCCTAATAATAATTTATACAAATTTTATTTCAATGAATATAATTTTATCTACTTATTTTATGTATAGTTGTCACAGAGTACGCTAAGAGTTCCGCATTGTATTAAACATTCAAAACTAGAAAGCCACTATCATCTTTATTCTGAAAATAATTTATAAATAGAAAGTATAAACTGTTTGGGTGATGTGATTTCTACAATAGAAAAAAAGTTTACAACGATAAACCGTAAACATAATTATCTCTACATCCAGTGATAATATATACATCATTTGAGTTTTCGGAATAAAGAACTGGAGATGAGAAACACTGGTTGGGTAGGTGGTAAGTCGACCATACAGTAGGAGCATTTCGTCGGACAGATAGACTCGAAGGTACTGAACACCCATAAACCAAACCATCTGCTCTTGTTCCAATCAATAAACTGTGTCTATCGCTTTGCAATAAAGAAGGTGTATTTAAGGAACATAGGTTTTTTGAGTTTAAATCAAATGTCCAGTCAAGCATCCACGCTAAATTGCCATTTACAACGTTCAAAGCGAATAAGAAACCCTTATTAGTACTCAGAATAACATTGTGAGACTGCGCATCAAGAACGGGGTCTGAAAATATTGCATGACCACTTAGTTCTTGAGAACATTCATAATTCCAATCAATATTTCCATCCACCAGAGAAAATGATTGAATTGTCCCACTAACTCCAGCTGTAATAACATTAACCTTGTAGCTAGAGTCCATATATAGAAGAGGTTTACTAAAAACAGGCATTTTTGCATCTCTTATCCAAACCAAATGTGATGGATTTCTAGGATCTAAACAACCAACAGTTCCTCCAAGACTTGCAATAATAAGATATGGTGTGCTCGTCTGAGACATATCTGACACAATAACGGGAGAAACAATGGGTGTTCCATCAAAAGAATTAGTCCAAATAGGTTTCATATTGTTGAGAGAACGTAAGTCTATGGCGTGAACTAGTTTGCCATGGGAACCACATGCTAGAAATCTGTAATCATATACATACGATCCAGGAGACTTAACGGCGCCCCCAGTGTAATATGAGCACAGAGAAATTCCACACTCAATATCCAAACCATAAATACTCCCATCTAAGGACCCAACAACAAGTACAGCACTTGAACCTGCGAATCCAAGTGTGGAAGAGGCCTCGATACGACCTGGTAGTGACACTGCTGCGTTCGGCCATACTGTGTGGCCATTCGATACATACAAAGCAGAAACCGAACCGGAGTGACTTCCGATGAAAGCACACCCATTGGAAAAGCCATGAACACCAGAAAGGATTAAAGGCGAAGCGTCTACACACTTATGCAGATTATGTTGCCACAAAAATTTAAATTGGGTTTGGGGTAATAAGTCAGGCAGCTTCAATACAGAGCCATGTGTGTAAATATCAAATGGATGTTGGTAATTATGTTTAACAGTCATTTGGAATTCATTTTCAAATTTGCTTTGATAAACTTTTTTGGTTGAAATGGATTTTGAAAAACGTGTTTTGGACTTCATAGAAATAGAGCAACATCTTGAAATAAACTCACAAACACGGAAAAATGAATGCGCGAATATTAGTGATACAAGATTTTCCCTCTTATTGATCAAGACTGGAAATTCTTGGATTATTGTTTCAACTAGGTGCAATGCCATTAAAGAGGAACCACCGGCCTCCATAAATGTTGCATCCCAATGAGTTACAGTCGTTCTGCCTAACCCAAGAGACTCATTCCACATGGCAATAACTTTGTACTTGATGGACATTGAAGATTTAAAAACGTTATGTAGTCTATACATTAACTTTCCGTGTAATGAAATCGGTAGAGAGCGATTAGAAAATACAAAATGTGTGGGAATCCAGGGTTGATGGTTCGGAGCGAAAACCAACTTTAGTCTTTTAAGGATATGAGATTTAGTGTTTTTTGTATAGCTGTAAGTTGGAAATACTGAAGGTCTTCTAGAAAATTTATGGGAATAAAGTTCAATTTCAATGAATGAAATGATGGAGTTTCGATTAGTTGATCTTTCAAAAACCTGACATCTACAGTTTCTGATCTTGAGGCTTGGTGGCTTGCACGTTTTTATGACATGTTCTAAACGTTCTAGGCAAATTTGGTATCCAAACCGTTTTATTGTACGGTCTTTTCTACCTAGAAACCATAAACACCTCCCACATTGACCGTAATGCACTAAATCAGAAGTAGGCCATGTAATCTGAGAATGTAGTTGTGAAAGAGCGTAGGAAAATTCCTGAATAGTAATTGTTGACTCTTTGGGACGTAATATGTAAAACCCACCATATTGACGGGATAGTCCCAATTCCCAAACATTTTCCATATTGGATGGTATTAGTGAGAAACTCGTTCCTAGCATCGGAAACCCAAGAGGTGTAGATCCAAGCAAAGGAGGCGAACATTCGCAGTGAATATCATTGTTGATCCAATCTCTATCAAATGAACTGACTTTAAACAAAGAGGCCCACGAGGAGACTTCTGTAGTACCATAGATATTATAAAGGATAGATTTGTGGTTTTTAAAACCCCTGAGATCATTTAAGGGGAATGGTTCTCCACCAAGTAAAACGTGGAAACTTGGTTGTGACAAAAACCTATTAAGGAGACGACGATCGAGCCCAGAGATTTGACTTGGAGTGCATTGCAGCCAACCAACTTTTGCGTTCATGCACAACGTGTATAAGGTTTTGGGTACATTGAGAATTGATGAGGGACATATAACTATGGTACGACGGGTCAATAGTGCGAAGTAAATCTGTAC